TTCATGTTGAATTCACGTTAGTTGACAACTCAATCAAATGGCTTACTCATGGTTTAACTAATCCAGGAGTAGTCTTAATCCTGGTTTAACTAATCCAGGAGTAGTCTTAATCCTGGTTTAACTAATCCAGGAGTAGTCTTAATCCTGGTTTAACTAATCCAGGAGTAGTCTTAATCCTGGTTTAACTAATCCAGGAGTAGTCTTAATCCTGGTTTAATTAATCTACTAACCATCTCTAACGTTTTTGCTGTGATTGATTTAATCTTAAACGCGTTTGAACAATCCTGATGTTATATAGAAGCTCTTTCATTACTTTCCATATCTGTCTATCCTCCTCCAGATCCCTAAAGACGAGCACATCCTTCGTTTCCTGCGAGCGAGGGACTTCCACCTGGAGAGAGCCAGAGAGATGCTGGGTCAGTCTCTCAGCTGGAGGAAACAACACCGGGTAGGACACATACATATGATGTATATGGGTACACAACTACAGTCGACATATTTTTTTGTAGGTCAATTGCAGATACAACATGACTAGTTTGAAGATGTACATACTCCAGCAGCAGTGATGTTGGCCCCAAGGTCATCGGGAGTTTGAGACCCCTGCACTACATGCTCTCAAATGCAATCCCGTTGTGATTGGTTCTGACTGTTAAGTCACATGGAACAAGGAGCCAGATGTTTCACCGGATGTATAAATCTGAAGCGTCCCGGTTGGAATTTCCACTCCCCACCGAAATGGGCCCAGCGGCCGGCAGTGGGAGAGGATGGAGCGAGATGGAACTGGGCCGACGCTCTGCTGATTTTCTTCATCGAATAAAAAGCCCGATCTCAATACAGTATTTCTATTCCCAAATCTACAATGTGTTACGAACAGAGGACACTTCAGTTTTGTAGACGTGAACCCTTTGCCAAAGTTTAAAAAAAATGGTGTTGTTTGCAAGGAGTGCAAGGGCGAATGGAGTTCTTGCACAAGCGCACTTCACAGAATAGGCGTTCCCTAAGGGAAATATTCAAATACACGCTAGAACGCGCCAATAGGATCTCGCTAGCTCGTGCTTGGCTCTGCCCACCTCCCTGCTTGTTCTGCCCACTATACTTACATTTGCTCCCGTTGAAAACAACACAGGTGAACTATCTTGGGTTAGTTAAAAAAATATATATTTGGTTATGTTGTGTTTCTCCCCAGGTGGACTACATCCTGCAGTGGTGGTCGCCCCCTAGTGTCCTGGAGGAGTATTATGCTGGCTGTTGGCATTATCAGGACAGAGAGGGACGACCGCTATACATACTGAGGCTGGGACACTTGGACACTAAAGGACTGCTCAAAGCACTGGGGGAAGAGGCTCTGCTTAGACATGTGGGTTATAGACACAGACACACACACAGATGACAGAGGACACGCACACAGACGACAGAGGACACGCACACAGACGACACGCACACAGACGACAGAGGACACGCACACAGACGACAGAGGACACGCACACAGACGACAGAGGACACGCACACAGACGACACGCACACAGATGACAGAGGACACGCACACAGATGACAGAGGACACGCACACAGATGACAGAGGACACGCACACAGATGACAGAGGACACGCACACAGACAACAGAGGACACGCACACAGATGACAGAGGATACGCACACAGATGACAGAGGACACGCACACAGATGACAGAGGACACGCACACAGACGACAGAGGACACGCACACAGACGACAGAGGACACGCACACAGATGACAGAGGACACGCACACAGATGACAGAGGACACGCACACAGATGACAGAGGACACGCACACAGACAACAGAGGACACGCACACAGATGACAGAGGACACGCACACAGATGACAGAGGACACGCACACAGACGACAGAGGACACGCACACAGACGACAGAGGACACACACAGATGACAGAGGACGCAAACACACGCACTTGATTGATAATTCAGTGATCATGTATTTCCTGGGTGTTTGTATTCCAGGTTCTGTGGATCAACGAAGAAGGCCAGAAGAGGTGTGAGGAGAACACCAAGAAATTCACACGACCAATCACGTGAGTTTACTGCACAAACACATTAGCCTGTCCCATTGAAAACCCACTGTCAAGATGCTAACGTCCTTAGCGTTAGCAAATAAAACACACTTAAACAGGGCTAGCATTATTAGCATTTGCCTGTCCTATTGAAAACCCATAGTGAGGACGCTAACGTCCTTAGCGTTAGCTAATGAAACACACTTCCCTAGCTCGTGGACGTGCCTGGTGGACCTGGAGGGGTTGAACATGCGTCACCTGTGGCGTCCAGGAGTCAAGGCTCTGCTGAGGATCATAGAGGTGGTGGAGGCCAACTACCCAGAGACCCTGGGAAGGCTTCTCATCGTCCGAGCTCCCCGCGTCTTCCCTGTCCTCTGGACACTGGTCAGTTCACTGGGGCTACGTTCTGTGTGCACTCATACTCTCCCCAACCCTAACGGGTTTACAATGAATGGACTGGTTTGAAGAATATGATGGAAGCTCTCTCATCCCCCCATCCTCTCCTTCCCCCTCCATTCTCACCGCCTCCTTCCTCTCACACCCCCCCCTCTCACCAGCCGACCCACACCATCGCTCATCGCCCTCCTCTCATCCCAGCGCCCCAGTCCTCGCCCCACCTACTCTCTCATCCCGCCCCCGTCTAATCCCCATCTACACTCCTCATTGACCCCTCAGTCTCACCGCCCACACAGCGCGCAACCAGCCACGCTAACCCGCCTCCACCCACGCCCCGCCAACCAATCCGACCACTCAGCCAAACCATCCCTGCGCAGCCCACCCCGACCACCCCAGAGCTCCAGCACCCCACCCCCCGCAGCACCCCCCCCGCTGCCACTCGCCCGCTCCCTCTCATTCCCCCTCCACTCAAGCACACCCACCCCTCTCTCATCCCCCCTCACCCTACTCACCCACCCGCCCATACGCCTCCACCCCCCAATCCATCCAAGCCCAACACCATCCTCTCTCACCCCCCGTCCTCCCAGACCCCGCCCACTCTTCACAACCCCCACGCACTCCTCCATAACCCCCCCCTCCCCTCCACCCCTATCCCCCCTCTCATACCCGCCCTCCCCCCCTTCCCCTCATCCCCCCCTCCTCTCTCATCCCCCCCCCCTCCTCTCAATCCCCCCCTCCTCCCCCCCCTCCTCTCTCATCCCCCCCCTCCTCCTCTGTCAATCAACCCTCTCCTCTCCTCTCCTCTCCTCTCCTCTCCTCTCATCACCCCCTCTCTCATCTCCCTCTCCTCTCCAGGTGAGTCCATTCATCCATGACAACACTCGTCAGAAGTTCCTGGTCTATGGCGGTAGTCGTGACTACCAGGGGGCGGGGCCCGGCGGCCTGCTGGATTACATCGACAACGAAGTCATACCGGACTTCCTGGGAGGAGCCTGTCTGGTGAGTTAGAGCAGGGCTGGAGCAAAAAACCTGCACCCCTAGCACAGTAGACTGTCTGGTGAGTACATGGTCATATTCATAAGGGAATACTGTAGGAAAACCTTTTGTAACAGAAAACGAAAACACTATAATTTTCTAAAATGTATTTCTATAGGGCTCGATGCCATCCGTAGCGCGGTAGACCTGCGCGATAGAAATGTAAAGGTAATGTTTGCTCGTTCGGAGTCTGCATTCACGGTAAACGCAGCATACAGTATGTCGGCTCGATCTGAAATTACTTTTACATTTCAATCACGCTACAGCGCTGAACTCCAGCGGATACGAATTGAATCAAGACCTTATTTTCTTGACTAATTTATTTATCCATTTATTTTTTACATCTTTCTTTTTAAATGTCTTGTTAACTGTTTCAGTGCCAGGGGTCAGAGGGTAACATCATGTTAACTGTTTCAGTGCCAGGGGTCAGAGGGTAACATCATGTTAACTGTTTCAGTGCCAGGGTCAGAGGGTAACATCATGTTAACTGTTTCAGTGCCAGGGGTCAGAGGGTAACTCATTACATTTTTCAGTGCCAGGGTCAAGCGGTTACTTACTGTTTCAGTGCCAGGGGTCAGAGGGTAACATGTTAACTGTTTCAGTGCCAGGGGTCAGAGGGTAACCATGTTAACTGTTTCAGTGCCAGGGGTCAGAGGGTAACCATGTTAACTGTTTCAGTGCCAGGGGTCAGAGGGTAACATCATGTTAACTGTTTCAGTGCCAGGGGTCAGAGGGTAACATCATGTTAACTGTTTCAGTGCCAGGGGTCAGAGGGTAACATCATGTTAACTGTTTCAGTGCCAGGGGTCAGAGGGTAACATGTTAACTGTTTCAGTGCCAGGGGTCAGAGGGTAACATGTTAACTGTTTCAGTGGCCAGGGTCAGAGGGTAACCATGTTAACTGTTTCAGTGCCAGGGTCAGAGGGTAACTCATGTTAACTGTTTCAGTGCCAGGGGTCAGAGGGTAACCATGTTAACTGTTTCAGTGCCAGGGGTCAGAGGGTAACCATGTTAACTGTTTCAGTGCCAGGGGTCAGAGGGTAACCATGTTAACTGTTTCAGTGCCAGGGGTCAGAGGGTAACATCATGTTAACTGTTTCAGTGCCAGGGGTCAGAGGGTAACCATGTTAACTGTTTCAGTGCCAGGGGTCAGAGGGTAACCATGTTAACTGTTTCAGTGCCAGGGGTCTGAGGGTAACATCATGTTAACTGTTTCAGTGCCAGGGGTCAGAGGGTAACATCTTGTTAACTGTTTCAGTGCCAGGGGTCAGAGGGTAACATCGTTTAACTGTTTCAGTGCCAGGGGTCAGAGGGTGGCACGGTGCCTAAGTCTCTGTATCAGAGCCAGCAGCAGCAGGAGAGTCCAGACAACAGACTACTGACAGATACTATATACCAGTCAGCACACTGCTTCACTGGGGCGCCACACGAGGTAACACACACACACACAGAGAGAGGAACACAACGCATGCACACACACACACGCACGCACGAAACACACTAAACTCCGCTCCCCTCTCTCTCCTAGATCATGATAGAGATCTTGGAGGGATCGTCAGTGATCACCTGGGACTTTGATGTTCTGAAAGGGGATCTGATCTTTAATATCTACCACTCCAAACGCACCCCAGACCAGCCATCCCAGCCCCCCTCTGAACACAGCCCCAGCCCCCCAGACCAGACCTGACCAGCCCCCCTCTGAACACAGCCCAGCCCCCCAGACCAGACCTGACCAGCCCCCCCCAGCCCAGCCCCCCAGACCAGACCTGACCAGCCCCCCCCAGCCCAGCCCCCCAGACCAGACCTGACCAGCCCCCACCCAGCCCAGCCCCCCAGACCAGACCTGACCAGCCCCCCCCAGCCCAGCCCCCCCAGACCTGACGGGCAGACCGGCTCAGTCCACAACACCCAGCTGCTGGAGAGTAGCTGGTGCTGGGGGTGGACTACAGTTTGGTGGAGTCACCTCTCAGCTGTAGGGAGGGAGACAGTATACAGGTAACAATATCCTCCTGCCGCCGACACACACACACACACACACACACACACACACACACACACACACACAGCTAACCTCACTCCCCAGCTTGAAACGTTCCAATGGAAGTGGGGGCTACATGTGAGGCTGGTTGGGGACTACAGTTGGTGGATCACTCTCAGTGTAGAGAGACAGTTCAGGAAATCCTCCTCGCCGAACACCCACACACCACCTCCACACAACACACACACAGCTAACTCTCCCTGAGCCAGAATGCTCCAGTAACTGACTTGATGCAGTGAAGCTGTTGAAGAACTACAGGGACGCCTGTTACAGCTGTACTGTCCTGTACTTACCTGAGGACATGTAGGAGCAATTACTTCCACAGATAACACCTCTGACCTGGAGGTAGAAGCAACACTTCCACAGATAACACCTCTGACCTGGTGGGTAGAAGCAACACTTCCACAGATAACACCTCTGACCTGGAGGTAGAAGCAACACTTCCACAGATAACACCTCTGACCTGGAGGTAGAAGCAACACTTCCACAGATAACACCTCTGACCTGGATGTAGAAGCAACACTTCCACAGATAACACCTCTGACCTGGATGTAGAAGCAACACTTCCACAGATAACACCTCTGACATGGATGTAGAAGCAACACTTCCACAGATAACACCTCTGACCTGGAGGTAGAAGCAACACTTCCACAGATAACACCTCTGACCTGGAGGTAGAACCAACACTTCCACAGATAACACCTCTGACCTGGAGGTAGAAGCAACACTTCCACAGATAACACCTCTGACCAGGAGGTAGATTGTATAGGTGACAGTTCCATCTCGCTCGTCCTCCCGTCAATATCCTCTCTCCTCCCCTTCCTCCATCTCACCTCCTTCCCCTCCTCCCTCAGGGCTCCCACGTCACCCGGTGGCCAGGTGTGTACATCCTGCAGTGGAGGGTTGGTGTGAGTGGAGGTGGTGGGCGCGGCGCCCCCTGTGTCTCGGGGTTGTCATTACATCAGGGGGGAGATGTAATGACAACAGGTGTACAGGTCTCTACACACTGGGCCACTGTCATGTTCTACACAGAGGTAGTGGCCGCCCAAGATTTCAGGTAACGTGTGTTTTAATAGTAAGTGGTTTAGCGTACAGTAATGAGTGTGTTAATCATGTTAAATCCAGTGTTGTAATGATGACCTAGCCCTTCTGTTAGCTACATACTGGACAGGTGTTGCTAAGCTACAGTGGGGAAAAAAAGTATTTAGTCAGCCACCAATTGTGCAAGTTCTCCCACTTAAAAAGATGAGAGAGGCCTGTAATTTTCATCATAGGTACACGTCAACTATGACAGACAAATTGAGAAGAAAAAAAATCCAGAAAATCACATTGTAGGATTTTTAATGAATTTATTTGCAAATTATGGTGGAAAATAAGTATTTGGTCACCTACAAACAAGCAAGATTTCTGGCTCTCACAGACCTGTAACTTCTTCTTTAAGAGGCTCCTCTGTCCTCCACTCGTTTCCTGTATTAATGGCACCTGTTTTAACTTGTTATCAGTATAAAAGACACCAGTCCACAACCTCAAACAGTCACACTCCAAACTCCACTATGGCCAAGACCAAAGAGCTGTCAAAGGACACCAGAAACAAAATTGTAGACCTGCACCAGGCTGGGAAGACTGAATCTGCAATAGGTAAGCAGCTTGGTTTGAAGAAATCAACTGTGGGAGCAATTATTAGGAAATGGAAGACATACAAGACCACTGATAATCTCCCTTGATCTGGGGCTCCACGCAAGATCTCACCCCGTGGGGTCAAAATGATCACAAGAACGGTGAGCAAAAATCCCAGAACCACACAGGGGGACCTAGTGAATGACCTGCAGAGAGCTGGGACCAAAGTAACAAAGCCTACCATAAGTAACACACTACGCCGCCAGGGACTCAAATCCTGCAGTGCCAGACGTGTCCCCCTGCTTAAGCCAGTACATGTCCAGGCCCGTCTGAAGTTTGCTAGAGTGCATTTGGATGATCCAGAAGAGGATTGGGAGAATGTCATATGGTCAGATGAAACCAAAATATAACTTTTTGGTAAAAACTCAACTCGTCGTGTTTGGAGGACAAAGAATGCTGAGTTGCATCCAAAGAACACCATACCTACTGTGAAGCATGGGGGTGGAAACATCATGCTTTGGGGCTGTTTTTCTGCAATGGGACAAGGACGACTGATCCGTGTAAAGGAAAGAATGAATGGGGCCATGTATCGTGAGATTTTGAGTGAAAACCTCCTTCCATCAGCAAGGGCATTGAAGATGAAACGTGCCTGGGTCTTTCAGCATGACAATGATCCCAAACACACCGCCCGGGCACCGAAGGAGTGGCTTCGTAAGAAGCATTTCAAGGTCCTGGAGTGGCCTAGCCAGTCTCCAGATCTCAACCCCATAGAAAGTCTTTGGAGGGAGTTGAAAGTCCGTGTTGCCCAGCGACAGCCCCAAAACATCACTGCTCTAGAGGAGATCTGCATGGAGGAATGGGCCAAAATACCAGCAACAGTGTGTGAAAACCTTGTGAAGACTTACAGAAAACATTTGACCTGTGTCATTGCCAACAAAGGATATATAACAAAGTATTGAGAAACTTTTGTTATTGACCAAATACTTATTTTCCACCATAATTTGCAAATAAATTAATTAAAAATCCTACAATGTGATTTTCTGGATTTTTTTCCCTCATTTTGTCTGTCATAGTTGATGTGTACCTATGATGAAAATTACAGGCCTCTCTAATCTTTTTAAGTGGGAGAACTTGCACAATTGGTGGCTGACTAAATACTTTTTTTCCCCACTATACCTACTTCAGTGCTGTAATGATGACCTAGCCCTTCTGTTAGCTACATACTGGACAGGTGTTGCTAAGCTACCTACTCCAGTGCTGTAATGACAGTGTGTGTTTTCCAGAGGCTCCATGACCAGTCTAGAGTCGTGTCACAGCGGATTCTCCCAGCTGAGCGGCGTCACAACCTCCTCTGACCAATCACAGAGCAGCTCCCTCATCTCCAGATAAACACACGGACGTCTAGATAATCTCTCTTTCGCTCACACTTTACTACACAAAAGGGCTCCATCAAAATGGATGCAAGAACAACGGTCACTTTATCAAGTCCAGCTGTTGTGAGTGGTTGGATGAAAGCTCAGTGGGCAGAGGTTAAAGTGACAAGTCAGTGGGCGGAGTTTACAGGCGAGAGTCCAATATAAAAGGCCCTTGTACGGGTGGTAGGTTGGAGGGCACGGGTTGCGACCCACAAGGTTGCCAGTTTGAATCCCGGATGAGACTTTTGTTTTCCAACATTCTTAAGTAAATCACATTTCTAAATCTAATAACGTTCTAAAATGACTAAAACATCTTTATATATGTGAAAAACCAAATGTGGTGCCCTCCCCCTCTACTGGCGCAGTGGTTCTAACCTTGCTGATGCCCTTTCTCCAAAAAGGATCTATGACCCTGGTTACACATTGCATTAACATGAGGTTTTCCTGATCTGATCTTTTTGACTACGCAAATAAGCTATATCAATTCTACTGCACATCACTTCATCAAGCATGCAGACTAGTTAAACTCCCCAGTGCCTTTAAGAGGTGCATTGCTGATACAGCGTGATCGGATTGAATCCCGGCCTAAAACGGGAACGTGCAAAAACACAGCATTAATGAACCAATAACAGGGCATTATTGAAACTGTAAATGACATTTTGTTGTGTTATTTGTTCTACTGATTAACTTGGTCTTTGGAAGAGGAACTATTTGAATAACTATTTATATTTTTAAATAAATATTATTTAACAGTAGATGGAAGCTTGGAGAGGAATTGACTATTTTCATGCTGTGTTAACTGCAAATATGACTGATAAAGTTATTCCATTTTGTGTCTGTTGATCAACTATTAAAAAAAGTGACTTATTCTGTTCTCTTTTTTTACAAATCAGAATAACTTTAAATCTTAGATAAAAGAATCAAGAGTCACATTTCAAGATTTTAATTTTATTAAATCACACTTTCAAGAAAACGATAACAAAACAACTTACATGAAACCATGACAACAGGTTTTCCCAAATCAAAGAAATATAAGATGTGAAACGAATTCCCAGAGCTCTGTAAAACCAGAACTGAAACATAATTTTTAGCTAAAATAAAATCTTGTTGTCTGGTAAGAGTAATTAAGAACCAGAACCAAAGATCCTTGGTTACCCACTGTGAAGCAACTTGTTGTTCTAACTCCTGGGCCCTATTAGTCCTGATCAAGTAAAACTCCTGTCCCTAGCAGTCCTGGGGTCTATTCACTAAGAACTAAATGGAACCAAACAGAAGCAAAGGGAACGAAACGGCGAGGGACCTCCTTTAACTTTTCCAATAGAAACTGTTGTTTTTGTTTGCGAAAACATTTTTCAGTTGCAAAATGTTTTGCTACGGCCTAAAAAGTTTCACTACGGTGTGCGCTAAAGAACACACCCCGGATCAGTTAAAACTCCCTACTGTTTGTTCTCATGTTGTGCGAACTGGACCCACTGGTTCCAGTTGTTTTCATGGGGGAAAACCTGTCCTAGACGCAGACAGCAGTCGATGGTCGGCTCGTAGAACACAGTGGTCGTCTCAGCCGGTCTTACCGCAGTCTCACCCAGCCTCACCCCTGTCTCTCTCGCCCTCTCCTCCTCCACCAGGAAGGTGGCTGGGCAGGAGAAGAGGGAGGGTTTTGGACGTCTGCTCACGTACCTCCTCTTAATACAGCCCAATTCTACCAGGGCCTGAGGGGAGGAGAGAGGAGGAACAGAGGGGGAGGAACAGAGGGGGAGGAGAGAGGAGGAAGAGAGAGGAGGAACAGAGGAGGAGGAGAGAGGAGGAACAGAGGAGGAGGAGAGAGGAGGAACAGAGGAGGAGGAGAGAGGAGGAACAGAGAGGAGGAGGGGAGGAGGAGGGAGAGAGGAGGAGGAGAGGAGGAGGAGAGAGGAGGAACAGAGGAGGAGGAGGAGAGAGGAGGAACAGAGGAGGAGGAGAGCGGAGGAACAGAGGAGGAGGAGAGAGGAGGAACAGAGGAGGAGGGAGAGAGGAGGAACAGAGGAGAAGGAGAGAGGAGAGGGGTACAAGGAAGAAGAGGGAGAGATGAACATGAGTGAAACTGACCAGAACTGGTGATGTTAGCTGTGGAGGAGTGTGTGGTAATTTGAGACCTGTACACTTAAATCCACTTTTCACAAAGAGGAACATAAAACTGCTATAACATTATAGTATAGTGTGGGACAGGTGTGGTTAGTGACAGACAGGTGAGGTGCTACCTGTGAAGGGGTGTGGTTAGTGACTGACAGACGAGGTGCTACCTGTGAAGGGGTGTGGTTAGTGACAGACAGGTGAGGTGCTACCTGTGAAGGGGTGTGGTTAGTGACTTACAGGTGAGGTGCTACCTGTGAAGGGGTGTGGTTAGTGACAGACAGGTGAGGTGCTACCTGTGAAGGGGTGTGGTTAGTGACTGACAGACGAGGTGATACCTGTGAAGGGGTGTGGTTAGTGACAGACAGACGAGGCGCTACCTGTGAAGGGGTGTGGTTAGTGACTGACAGACGAGGCGCTACCTGTGAAGGGGTGTGGTTAGTGACTGACAGACGAGGCGCTACCTGTGAAGGGGTGTGGTTAGTGACAGACAGGCGAGGCGCTACCTGTGAAGGGGTGTGGTTAGTGACAGACAGACGAGGCGCTACCTGTGAAGGGGTGTGGTTAGTGACAGACAGACGAGGCGCTACCTGTGAAGGGGTGTGGTTAGTGACTGACAGACGAGGTGCTACCTGTGAAGGGGTGTGGTTAGTGACTGACAGACGAGGTGCTACCTGTGAAGGGGTGTGGTTAGTGACTGACAGACGAGGTGCTACCTGTGAAGGGGTGTGGTTAGTGACTGACAGACGAGGTGCTACCTGTGAAGGGGTGTGGTTAGTGACTGACAGACGAGGTGCTACCTGTGAAGGGGTGTGGTTAGTGACTGACAGGTGACGTGCTACCTGTGAAGGAGTGTGGTTAGTGACAGACAGGTGAGGTGCTACCTGTGAAGGAGTGTGGTTAGTGACAGACAGACGAGGCGCTACCTGTGAAGGGGTGTGGTTAGTGACTGACAGACGAGGCGCTACCTGGGAAGGGGTGTGGTTAGTGACAGACAGACGAGGTGCTACCTGTGAAGGGGTGTGGTTAGTGACAGACAGACGAGGTGCTACCTGTGAAGGGGTGTGGTTAGTGACAGACAGACGAGGTGCTACCTGTGAAGGGGTGTGGTTAGTGACAGACAGACGAGGTGCTACCTGTGAAGGGGTGTGGTTAGTGACAGACAGACGAGGTGCTACCTGTGAAGGGGTGTGGTTAGTGACAGACAGACGAGGTGCTACCTGTGAAGGGGTGTGGTTAGTGACAGACAGACGAGGTGCTACCTGTGAAGGGGTGTGGTTAGTGACAGACAGGTGAGGTGCCACCTGTGAAGGGGTGTGGTTAGTGACTGACAGGTGAATGTTCCTACCAGTATGACATGTCCTAATAGAATCACTGGCTGCAACACTCCTCTGTAGTGTTCTAGTATAGTGTGATAGAGCCCTAACTAGCTGATTCACCTAGCCTACATTAGAGATGATACAGCTGATATATCTAACTAGCTGATTCACCTAGCCTACATTAGAGATGATACAGCTGATATATCTAACTAGCTGATTCACCTAGCCTACATTAGAGATGATCAGCTGATATATCTAACTAGCTGATTCATCTAGACTACATTAGAGATGATCAGCTGATATAGCCCACCCCAGTAGTGGTTCTAGCAAAGAAGCAGTGGTTTCTAACTCCCTTTATCTGTGGTTCTAGCTTGCTTGGCCATTTTTTTGTGCAAAAAATAAAGTCCTATGTTTAAAAACATGATGAATTTGGCTACAGGAGTAGTAGAAACTTGGAATAAAGGCCTATGTTTATGTATATATTTCTTTGCACCTGCCACACCAAAGGTCTGTGCACGGCCCTGGTGTGTGTTTGCATGGTGTGTGTACATGGTGTGTGTACATGGTGTGTGTGCATGGTGTGTGTGCATGGTGTGTGTGTACATGGTGTGTGTGCATGGTGTGTGTGTGCATGGTGTGTGTGTGCATGGTGTGTGTGCATGGTGTGTGTGTGCATGGTGTGTGTGTACATGGTGTGTGTGTACATGGTGTGTGTACATGGTGTGTGTACATGGTGTGTGTGCATGGTGTGTGTGTACATGGTGTGTGTGCATGGTGTGTGTGTGCATGGTGTGTGTGTACATGGTGTGTGTGTGCATGGTGTGTGTGTGTGTGCATGGTGTGTGTACATGGTGTGTGTGTGCATGGTGTGTGTGCATGGTGTGTGTGTGCATGGTGTGTGTGCATGGTGTGTGTGCATGGTGTGTGTGTGCATGGTGTGTGTGTGCATGGTGTGTGTGTGCATGGTGTGTGTGTGCATGGTGTGTGTACATGGTGTGTGTGTGCATGGTGTGTGTGCATGGTGTGTGTGTGCATGGTGTGTGTGTGTATGGTGTGTGTGTGCATGGTGTGTGTGCATGGTGTGTGTGCATGGTGTGTGTGCATGGTGTGTGTGTGCATGGTGTGTGTACATGGTGTGTGTGTTGTTCCTACCTGCACTAGGTCCAGCACCACCACAGGCTGCAGGACTCCTCTGTAGTGTTCCAGTAAGGTGTGTTCTGGTAAACCGGGTCGGGTCATGATATGGTACAGAACTGCCTCCAACATGCCTTTACACACCGGACTGTTCAGACTGCCGTCCACGATACGCCACGGACGACTGATGAACGACACGTCACTCCCACCGCGCCCGCTGTTACCGCTGCTACCATCCTCTTCCTCACGCAGACCGCTAGCTTCACCATCATCTTCCTCAGCTACAGATGAAGATGGCTTCTCACCGTCGCCCTCTGAGGAAAATAAAAACACGATGAAACACACCAGTTACACAAAAACACACGAGACACACACACACACACACACACACTTACGAGACACACACACACTTACGAGACACACACACACTTACGAGACACACACACACAGGAGACACACACACACAGGAGACACACACACACAGGAGACACACACACACACACATAGGACACACACACAACACACATAGGAGACACACACACACACAGGACACACACACACAACACACATAGGAGACACACACAGTAGTCTCACTTGTGCTCTGCTCTGTCTCAGAGGTCTGGTTAACAGGGTCAGCTGTAGTCTCAGAGGTCTGGTTAACAGGGTCAGCTGTAGTCTCAGTGGTCTGGTTAACAGGGTCAGCTGTAGTCTCAGAGGTCTGGTTAACAGGGTCAGCTGTAGTCTCAGTGGTCTGGTTAACAGGGTCAGCTGTAGTCTCAGAGGTCTGGTTAACAGGGTCAGCTGTAGTCTCAGAGGTCTGGTTAACGGGGTCAGCTGTAGTCTCAGAGGTCTGGTTAACGGGGTCAGCTGTAGTCTCAGAGGTCTGGTTAACAGGGTCAGCTGTAGTCTCAGAGGTCTGGTTAACAGGGTCAGCTGTAGTCTCAGTGGTCTGGTTAACAGGGTCAGCTGTAGTCTCAGAGGTCTGGTTAACAGGGTCAGCTGTAGTCTCAGAGGTCTGGTTAACAGGGTCAGCTGTAGTCTCAGAGGTCTGGTTAAAAGGGTCAGCTGTAGTCTCAGAGGTCTGGTTAACAGGGTCAGCTGTAGTCTCAGAGGTCTGGTTAACAGGGTCAGCTGTAGTCTCACCTGTGCTCTGTTCTGTCTCAGTGGTAGATAATGGTTCCTCTCCGTCCCTCTCTCCTTCTAACTCCTCTCTTCTCTCCATCCCTCTCTCCTCCGCTGTCTCATTCCTGTCTTTCTCTTTAGGCTGTATCGTCTTCCCCTCCTCATCCTCCTCTTCTTCCTCAGGTGTCCTCTCTCCACTCTTCTCAACCTCCTCTTCCTCCATCACCATTTCTCTTTTCTCTCTCTTCCTCCGTGGTTCCTTCTCTCTGGGGGCCTCCATGGTTCTCTTGCGGAGGAGGGGGTTGTGGTGCTCTCTGTCCCCCAGGACGGAGGCCCCTCGGTGGGGCCGGTCTCTCTGCCTCTCGGTGGAGGTCAGTAGCCAGGGCTCAGCGTGACTCAACAACACCAGACGCACTGAGCTCCCTCCCACCTCCAACACCAGCTCTTCCTCCAGCAGGTCCTACAGCCAATCACAGAGGAGAAAAAGACACATGAACCAATCACAGAGCTGAGGTTCAGTATAGACAGGGAAGGAGACCAATTAGGGAGGAGTGTTTCAGGACGGGAAGAGAAAGCGACTACAAACTTCTCCTAATGAAATAGCGTTCACATTGTGTGTGTTTCAGTGTGCCTCCATAAGCCCTACCTGTATGTACTGCTGCAGCCCTCTAGTACGCCCGTCTCTGGGCTCGGCCAGGTGTGTGTGTGATGTCACCAGGTCCTGTCTGTCCAATCCGAAGGCTCCGTGTCTCTCCAGCGTTGCTCTGAGCTCTGCCACAGCCCCAATGTCCTCTGGGTTATACCCTCTCTGAGTCACCAGACGCCCCTCACACCCCTCTACAGAGGAGGAGGGGGAGGAGGGGAGGGGGGAGGAGGAGGGAGAAGGGGAGGAGGGGGGATGGGCACTGAGGGAATGGGTGAGTAAGGAGGGGAGGAGAGAGGTACCCTGTCTGGAGAAGTCTAGGGGAGGAGAGTCTGAGAGGAGAGAGAGAGAGGAGAGAGAGAGAGACAGAGAGAGAGAGAGACAGAGAGAGAAGGATAGAGGTGAGGGTGTGTGTACCTACCCTGGGTAATAAACAGTGTGTGTACCTACCCTGGGTAATAAACAGTGTGTGGCCCTACCCTGGGTAATAAACAGTGTGTGTCCAGGTGTGTGTACCTACCCTGGGTAACAAACAGTGTGTGTACCTACCCTGGGTAATAAACAGTGTGTGTCCAGGTGTGTGTACCTACCCTGGGTAATAAACAGTGTGTGTACCTACCCTGGGTAATAAACAGTGTGTGTACCTACCCTGGGTAATAAACAGTGTGTGTCCAGGTGTGTGTACCTACCCTGGGTAATAAACAGTGTGTGTCCAGGTGTGTGTCCCTACCCTGGGTAATAAACAGTGTGTGTCCCTACCCTGGGTAATAAACAGGGTGTGTCCAGGTGTGTGTATCTACCCTGGGTAATAAACAGTGTGTGTACCTACCCTGGGTAATAAACAGTGTGTGGCCCTACCCTGGGTAATAAACAGTGTGTGTCCAGGTGTGTGTACCTACCCTGGGTAATAAACAGTGTGTGTCCAGGTGTGTCCCTACCCTGGGTAATAAACAGTGTGTGTCCAGGTGTGTGTCCCTACCCTGGGTAACAAACAGTGTGTGTACAGGTGTGTGTCCCTACCCTGGGTAATAAACAGTGTGTGTCCAGGTGTGTGTACCTACCCTGGGTAATAAACAGTGTGTGTACCTACCCTGGGTAATAAACAGTGTGTGGCCCTACCCTGGGTAATAAACAGTGTGTGTACCTACCCTGGGTAATAAACAGTGTGTGGCCCTACCCTGGGTAATAAACAGTGTGTGTACCTACCCTGGGTAATAAACAGTGTGTGTCCAGGTGTGTGTCCCTACCCTGGGTAATAAACAGTGTGTGTCCAGGTGTGTGTACCTACCCTGGGTAATAAACAGTGTGTGTCCAGGTGTGTGTACCTACCCTGGGTAATAAACAGTGTGTGTCCAGGTGTGTGTACCTACCCTGGGTAATAAACAGTGTGTGTCCAGGTGTGTGTCCCTACCCTGGGTAATAAACAGTGTGTGTCCAGGTGTGTGTCCCTACCCTGGGTAATAAACAGTGTGTGTCCAAGTGTGTGTCCCTACCCTGGGTAATAAACAGTGTGTGTCCAGGTGTGTGTGTCCCTACCCTGGGTAATAAACAGTGTGTGTCCAGGTGTGTGTCCCTACCCTGGGTAATAAACAGTGTGTGTCCAGGCGTGTGTCCCTACCCTGGGTAATAAACAGTGTGTGTCCAGGTGTGTGTCCCTACCCTGGGTAATAAACAGTGTGTGTCCAGGTGTGTGTCCCTACCCTGGGTAATAAACAGTGTGTGTCCAGGTGTGTGTACCTACCCTGGGTAATAAACAGTGTGTGTCCAGGTGTGTGTCCCTACCCTGGGTAATAAACAGTGTGTGTCCAGGTGTGTGTCCCTACCCTGGGTAATAAACAGTGTGTGTCCAGGTGTGTGGCGTAGCTGCAGCCTCATGGTGCAGGACTCCACCACGATACTATCGTTGGTGTTGAGGTTTCGGAGGTTGACGATCCCGGGAACGCAGTATCCACGCATCATCAGGTACTTGGTGTGGGACGCCTTGTGAGCCCTCACCTCCATCCCCCTCCGCCCCTCGCTATCCTCCACCTCTTCATCATCATCATCATCAGCCAGAACTGAGATACTGAGAGGAGAGAGACAGACAGGGCAGAGAGACAGACAGACAGGGCAGAGACAGACATACAGACAGGGCAGAGAGAGAGACATACAGGGCAGAGAGAGAGACAGGGCAGAGAGACAGACAGACAGGGCAGAGAGACAGACAGACACAGGGCAGAGACAGACAGACAGAGGGCAGAGACAGACAGACAGACAGAGGGCAGAGACAGACAGCAGGCAGAGACAGACAGACAGAGGGCAGAGACAGACACAGGGCAGAGACAGACACGGAAAAGAGACAGACAGACACGGCAGAGAGAGAGACAGACAGACACGGCAGAGAGAGAGACAGACAGACACGGCAGAGACAGACAGACAGAGGGCAGAGACAGACAGACAGAGGGCAGAGACAGACACAGGGCAGAGACAGACACGGAAAAGAGACAGACAGACACGGCAGAGAGAGAGACAGACAGACACGGCAGAGACAGACAGACACAGGGCAGAGACAGACAGACACAGGGCAGAGACAGACAGACAGGGCAGAGACAGACAGACAGGGCAGAGAGACAGACAGGAAATAGGATGTCAGTAAACAAATAGAGAATATGGAACAATACACTTCCATGCTAATTTATTTGGACAGGGAAGCTAAAACTTTGAATATGGCTCTATACTCCAGCATTTTGGATTTGAGATCAAATGTTTTATGTGAGGCGACATTACAGAATGTCATATTTTATTTGAGGGTATTTTCATACATATCCGTTTTACAGTTTTTAAATGAAAGCACTTTATGTATCTAGTCCCGCCCATTTGAAGGTGCCATATGTGTTTGGACCACGCCGTTGGCCACACCCACGCCATTGGCCGCACCCACTACCACGCCCAATGAAATGAAGGGCAGTAAGACTAATTCAACTCTGTCTTTCATCAAATCAGATCGCTGTCATCACAAAATCTTTCAATGTTGCCAATTATTTTAATGACTACTTCATTGGCAAAGTGGGCAAAACTCAGGCTTGAAATGCCAACAACAAACTGTGAGCCATCAAATTCATATTCATAAAATAATAAAAGCGCTGTAAATTTAAATGTTGTAAAGTTAGTGTGGGAAAAGTGGAAACATTATTGTTGTCCATCAGTAATGAGAAAGCATCTAGCATTGACAACCTAGATGGAAAACTACTGAGGTGTTGTCCACCAGTAATGAGAAAGCATCTAGCATTGACAACCTAGATGGAAAGCTACTGAGGTGTTGTCCACCAGTAATGAGAAAGCATCTAGCATTGACAACCTAGATGGAAAGCTACTGAGGTGTTGTCCACCAGTAATGAGAAAGCATCTAGTATTGACAACCTAGATGGAAAGCTACTGAGGTGTTGTCCATCAGTAATGAGAAAGCATCTAGTATTGCCAACCTAGATGGAAAGCTACTGAGGTGTTGTCCACCAGTAATGAGAAAGCATCTAGTATTGACAACCTAGATGGAAAGCTACTGAGGTGTTGTCCATCAGTAATGAGAAAGCATCTAGTATTGCCAGCCTAGATGGAAAGCTACTGAGGACGGTAGAGGACTATGTTGCCTCTCCTGTTTGTCATGTCTTTAATATGAGCCTGGAGAAAAGGGTTTGTCCTCAGACCTGGAGGGAAGCTAAAGTCATTCCACTACCCAAGAATGGTAAAGCAACCTTTGCGCGGCAGGTAGCCGGCTCTCCGTAGAAAAAAAAACGATATTTCTCTGAACACATTAACCTGTGTATCCATTTCTCTCAACACATTAACCTGTGTGTCTATGCATGTTGATTATTCAACAATATACAAGTCAGCAGCCACAGCTAGTGAAATCACTACAACTCTAAACAATGAGTTGTAGAATGTGTGGCTAGTAATAAACTAGTCCTGAATATATCCAAGACTAAAAGCATTTGCATTTGGTAAAAAAAATAGTTCCCTAATTTCTAGACCTCAGCTGAATCTGGTAATGAATGATGCAGCTGTTGAGCAAGTAGGAGACTAAACTTCTGGGTGTCACCGTAGACTGTAAATGTGAGGAGATGAGGAGAGGCCTGTCTGTCATAAAGAGATGCTGAGCATTCTTAACACCACACTGGACCAAACGCTCCCGAGCGGCGCAGCGGTCTAAGGCACTGCAACTCAGCGCTAGAGGCGTCACTACAGACCCTGGTTCGATATCACAATCCGGCCGTGATTGGGAGTCCCATAGGGCGGCGCACAATTGGCCCAGCGTCGTCCGGGTTTGTCCGGTGTAGGCCGTCATTGTAAATAAGAATTTGTTCTTAACTGACTTGCCTAGTTAAATAAAAATAAATTGTAAAAAATAAAAAACAAGTCCTGCAGTGCCTAGTTTGATCATATCTTGACTACTGCCCAGTGATATGGTCAGGTGCTGTAATGAAGGACCTCGGAAAGCCGCAGCTGCCCCAGAACAGAGCGCCGCAGCTGCCTCAGAACAGAGCAGCACGTCTTGCCCTTCGATGTTCACAGAGGGCTGACGTCAACAGTTTGCATTTCAGTCTCTCCTGGCCCAAAGTAGAGAAGAGAATGGCTGTGTCACTCCTTCTATCCTGGGGTTATATCCTTCCTGGTTGGCCCTGTCTGGGGGTATTGTCAGACAGGCCACAGTGTCTCCCCACCTCCAGTATCTATGCTGCAATAGTCTATGTGCCGGGGGGCTAGGGTCAGTCTGTCCTATCTGGTATACTTCTCCTGTCTCATCCGGTGTCCTGTGTGAATTTAAGTATGCTCCCTCTAATTCTCTCTCTCCCTCCCCTCCCGGAGGACCTGAGCCCTAGGACCATGCCTCAGGACTACCTGGCCTGATGACTCCTTGCTGTCCTCAGTCCACCTGGTCGTGCTGCTGCTCCAGTTTCAACTGTTCTGCCTGCGGCTATGGAACCCTGACCTGTTCACCGGACGTGCTGCCTTGTCCCAGACCTGCTCTCTCTCTCTCTCCCCCTCTGAATGCTCGGCTATAAAAAAAACAACTGACATTTACTCCTGAGGTGCTGACCTGTTGCACTCTCTACAACCACTGTGATTATTATTTGACCCTGCTGGTCATCTATGAACGTTTGAACATCTTGAAGAACGATCTGGCCTTAATGGCCATGTACTTATAATCTCCACCGGTCACAGTCAGAAGGGGACTGGCCACCCCTCAGAGCCTGGTTCCTCTCTACCCGGTACAGTCAGAAGGGGACTGGCCACCCCTCAGAGCCTGGTTCCTCTCTACCCGGTACAGCCAGAAGGGGACTGGCCACCCCTCAGAGCCTGGTTCCTCTCTACCCGGTACAGCCAGAAGGGGACTGGCCACCCCTCAGAGCCTGGTTCCTCTCTACCCGGTACAGCCAGAAGGGGACTGGCCACCCCTCAGAGCCTGGTTCCTCTCTACCCGGTACAGCCAGAAGGGGACTGGCCACCCCTCAGAGTCTGGTTCCTCTCTAGGTTTCTTCCTAGGTTCCTGCCTTTCTAGAGAGTTTTTCCAAGCCACTGTGCTTCTACATCTACATTGCCTGCTGTCAGACCACATTTTACCCCAGGAGCCCCATTAGGGGTGGTAACTGTAGATATCAAGGTAGCTTTATTCAAATCAGGGGAATTTAGCAGAGCGAAGGACTTTCAGTGAAGCTCTATATGAGTGAAGCTCGTATGATATTTTGCTTTGTTCACATCCGGGGAACTGTGCCAGGAGTGAACTGATTCATGAATCATTACTCTGTTCACGTCAGGGGAAATGAGCCAGGACTGAACTGATTCATGAAACACCGCTCTGTTCACGTCAGGGGAACTGAGCCAGGACTGAACTGATTCATGAAACACCGCTCTGGTCACATCAGGGGAACTGAGCCAGGACTGAACTGATTCATGAATCATTACTCTGGTCACGTCAGGGGAAATGAGCCAGGACTGAACTGGTTAATGAATCATTACTGTGTTCACATCAGGGGAACTGAGCCAGGACTGAACTGATTCATGAATCATTACTCTGGTCACGTCAGGGGAACTGAGCCAGGACTGAACTGATTCATGAAACACCGCTCTGTTCACGTCAGGGGAACTGAGCCAGGACTGAACTGATTCATGAATCATTACTTTTTCACTCAGGGGAACTGTGGCCAGGACCTGAAATGATTCATGAAACACCGCTCTGTTCACGTCAGGGGAACTGAGCCAGGACTGAACTGATTCATGAATCATTACTCTGTTCACGTCAGGGGAACTGTGCCAGGACTGAACTGATTCATGAAACACCGCTCTGGTCACGTCAGGGGAACTGAGCCAGGACTGAACTGATTCATGAATCATTACTCTGTTCACGTCAGGGGAACTGAGCCAGGAGTGAACTGATTCATGAAACACCGCTCTGTTCACATCCGGGGACTGAGCCCGGAGTGAACTGATTCATGAAACACCCGCTCTGTTCACATCCGGGGGAACTGAGCCAGGAGTGAACTGATTCATGAACAACCGCTCTGTTCACATCGCGGGAAACTGAGCCAGGAGTGAACTGATTCATGAAACACCGCTCTGTTCACATCCGGGGAACTGAGCCAGGAGTGAACTGATTCATGAAACACCGCTCTGTTCACATCCGGGGAACTGAGCCAGGAGTGAACTGATTCATGAAACACCGCTCTGTTCACGTCAGGGGAACTGAGCCATGACTGAACTGATTCATGAATCATTTTTTTAATTTATTTTTTATTTCACCTTTATTTAACCAGGTAAACCAGTTGAGAACAAGTTCTCATTTACAACTGCGACCTGGCCAAGATAAAGCAAAGCAGTGCGATAAAAACAACAACACAGAGTTACATATGGGGTAAAACAAAACAAAGTCAAAAATACAACAGAAATACATATAATATACAGTGTGCAAATTTAGCAAGTTATGGAGGTAAGGCAATAAAATAGGCTATAGTGCAAAATAATTACAATTTAGTATTAACACTGGAATGATGTGCAAGAGATGATGTGCAAATAGAGATACTGGGGTACAAATGAGCAAAATAAATACAATATAGGGATGAGGTAGTTGGGCGGGCTAATTTCAGATGGGCTGTGTACAGTGCAGTGATCGGTAAGGTGCTTTGACAACTGATGCTTAAAGTTAGTGAGGGAGATAAGTGTCTCCAGCTTCAGAGATTTTTGCAATTTGTTCCAGTCATTGGCAGCAGAGAACTGGAAGGAATTGCGGCCAAAGGAGGTGTTGGCTTTGGGGATGACCAGTGAGATATACCCGCTGGAGCGCAGACTACGGTGGGGTGTTGCTATGGTGACCAATGAGCTAAGATAAGGCGGGGGATTTTGCCTAGCAGTGATTTATAGATGGCCTGGAGCCAGTGGGTTTGGCGACGAATATGTAGTGAGGACCAGCCAACAAGAGCGTATAGGTCACAGTGGGTGGGTATTATATGGGGCTTTGGAGACAAAACGGATGGCACTGTGATAGACACATCCAATTTGCTGAGTAGAGTGTTGGAGGCTATTTTGTAAATGACATCGCCGAAGTCAAGGATCGGTAGGATAGTCAGTTTTACGAGGGCATGTTTGGCAGCATGAGTGAAGGAGGCTTTGTTGCGAAATAGGAAACCGATTCTAGATTTAACTTTGGATTGGAGATTCTTAATGTGAGTCTGGAAGGAGAGTTTACAGTCTAACCAGACACCTAGATATTTGTAGTTGTCCACATACTCTAGGTCAGACCCGTCTAGAGTAGTGATTCTAGTCGGGTGGGCGGGTGCAAGCAGCGTTCGGTTGGAAGAGCATGCATTTAGTTTTACTAGTGTTTAAGAGCAGTTGGAGGCTACTGAAGGAGTGTTGTATGGAATTGAAGCTCGTTTGGAGGTTGTTAACACAGTGTCCAATGAAGGGCCAGATGTATACAAAATGGTGTCGTCTGCGTAGAGGTGGATCTAGATCACCGCACAAGACGCGTATTATTAAAAACAGAGAAAAAGATTGGCCCCCAAAAATTTAACCCGTGGCCCCCCCATAAGATGCCATAGGGGCCAGACAAAAGGGCCCCCCGTTTGACACTTGAACTCTATCTGAGAATATTTGGGGAACCAGCGAGCGTCATTTGAGAAACCAAGGCATTATCTGCCAATAAGAATCGGGGGTTACAGAGTCGAAAGCCTTGGCCAGGGCAAAAAAACGGCTGCACAGTCTTCTTTAAACGATCGCGGTTTAATTCGTTTAGGGCCTTGAGCGGGGGTGAAGGGCAAAACCCTGCCCTCAAACCGGATTTATAGCGGAGAAGGGGACGGGGGGATTCGAAAAAGGGCGGTGATCTGTTTGTTGACTTGGTTTCAAAAACTTTTTAAAGGGAGGCAGGGTTGGGTATGGGGCTGTAAAAGTTTTGGGTCTAGAATGTCACCCCCTTTGAAAGGGGAAAGACCCCCGGCACTTTCCCAAACTCTTTGGGGGGCTAAAAAAGTTCCCAAAGAGGGTTTTAACAGGCAGTAATAGGGTTTTCGACAAATTCGGGGCGCTAGTTTTTTGAAAGAAAGGGGCCAGATTTTCTACCCAGATATTTTTTTAGGGGGCCAGAATTTTTTCAAACCCTTTTTGAAAAATCCGCTTTTTTGGGTTTTTTTTGAAGGGAAGCCCGGGGGGGATTGGGGAAGTTTCACGAAAGGGGCCGAGCTGGGGGCCGGGGGATTTGGGACCATTGGAAAAACTGGGCCAACCGTACAAAATGCTTGTTGAAATTCCGATTATTTTAGATTTTATCGGTTTGGGAAAAGTGTTTTTCCTAGCCTCAAATGCAGGGGCAGCGGGGGGGGAAGTGGGGTCTTATTTTCCATGGACTTTTTCATGTCCCCCAAAAATTTTTGGGGGTTTTTCTACAGGGTGCAAAATTTTTGTTTGAAAAAGTTTAAACCCCTTAAATTTTGTTCCCGTCAGGGGAACTGGTAGTGAAAGGTAAACCCTTTTTTTTTAAAAATTTTTTCGTTTTGTCCCCCAGCTTTTTTGTCTATAAAGTCCTGTATTAAAAGTCAAAGTTTATGTTCCCTTTTGGGGCCCCAAAGAGTAAACTGCTGGGTTTTAAACATCAGCTAATGGGGTCCTAATAAAATACAATACTTTTGTTTAAAAAATTTTCTCAAATTTCCAAAAACGGGAGTAAAAGAGCCAAAATTAAAATTTTTTAGCTTCACTGTCCCCAAAAAAATCACAGGGGAGTAAAATAAAAGGGGTCTGGCCTAAATGGAAAAAATCATTTTAAGAAACAACCCTTTTTGGGTTTTCAGGGGAGAAAAGTTGTGTGGGCCCGTCTGTGGTGTGTGTGTGTGTTGTGTCGGGGGTGTGTTTTGTGTTTCTGTGGGGGTGTTTCTATGTGGGGCGGGGGTTGTCGTGTGTTCGCGTGTGGGGGCTTTGTGCTGTTTGTGTGGTGTGTGTGTGGCTGTGTGTGTGTGGTTTTGTTTGTCCCGGGGGTGTGTGTTTTGTGTTTACCTCTTACCACCTCATTTCCCCCCATGGTAAATGTCCAAACCCCCACTAAGTTTCAGGGAGGGAACGTGGACCGACCCGAAACCCCGAGGGCATCAACTGAGACAGGCCAGAGTGGCGCCCCCCGGGGACCCCAGAGGGAACTGCAACATCTGGAGTCAACACATAATAATAAAACAGGACCTTTATTTCTACAGGTGATCTCAATAAACCCAATCAAAAAAAGTGTTTGAACTGAACAAGAATCTCATCAGAGGGGAGGGCAAAATATATTCGGGTATGTTTTTTTAAGGGGGGACTGGCAATTCAGCGCGTTTCTGCTAATTGTACAACACTTTTAGGGGGGGGGAAAACCCCATTCTTAAAAACTACAAAACCCCAAAGGGAAACTGCAACCCCCCTCCGGGTATCTAGGGGAGAGAGGGGTCAAGGCCGGGTGCAGTACCCGACTCAGGCTGCTCCGTCTGGGGGAGAGGACGGGAGGGAGGGGCCTTTAGGTAGACTAGCCCTGGGTGGGGAAAAACAAAAACTGTTTTCCCTGGGGTTTTGGTTGTGGGGTTGTTGTCCTCCCCTTTTCCCTTTCTTTTTTCTCCAAACTCCCCCTCCCCTCTCTCTTTCTTCAAAATTTTTCCTCCCCCTTCCCCTTTCTCCAAACTCCCCCCTTCTCCTCCCCCCTCCCCTTTCCCCCAAACCCCTTTCCCCCCCTCTCTCTTTCTCCAAAACCCCCTCCCCTTTTCTCTTTTTTTTCCCCCCCTCTCCTCCCCTCTCTCTTTCTTCAAACTCTCCTCCCCTCTCTCTTTCTCCAAACCTCCCCCCTCCTCCTTTTCCCCTCTCCCTTTTCCCCCCCCCCCCTCTCTTTTTTTCCCCCAAACTCTCCTCCCCTTTTCTCTTTTCTCCCCCCCCCTCCCCCAAACTCTCCTCCCCTCTCTCTTTCTCCAAACTCTCCTCCCCCCTCCTTTTTTCCAAACCCCCTCCCCCCCCTTTCTCTTTCTTCTTTCCAAAATCTCCCCCCCTCTCTTTTTCTCCAAAAATCTCCCCTTTTTTTTCCCCCCTCTTTCTCCGTCCTTCCCTGTATTTAAAACGTGGTGGGGGGTTGGGCTCCAGTCCCATTCTCTCTCAAGCCCTGCATGAAGTCAACCCCCTGTACACAACCTGGGGGGCCCGACCCATGTAAAAAAACCCCCACAGGAGAGAGGGAGAATGGGGGGTAAGTGAGGGGGGGGGTGGTGAAAAAGGGGCCCGGTGGAAA